TTGACAAAGTTTTTCACGTTCTGTCAAGTTTATCATGATCATCATCGTCATCGAAAGCACATCTAGCAAGAAAAAAAATATAGCCAACAACAAAAACTTGTCAACTTGTAAGCCACTCGTTTTCACAACAACAACAACAACAAAAAACATGAATATGACGATGACAATGATGACGATAATGTTCAAAAACAAAAATCGAAATCGAAAACAAAAATTAAAAATACTAATTTGTAATTCGTATATATAGGAAAGGATTAAGCTATTAATTATTTAGCACATTCAACCAAGCTAAAATTTAAAATGGAAAAAATAAATAAAGTTTAGAGATGAAAAAAAAAGAGAAGAATAATTATAAATTTCCATTAAAAAAAATCTTGATTTTCAAATTCAATTCCCATTTTAATGTTGACATGGATTGCATTTGATTTCATAATGGGAAGCAGCCGTTTATGTGTGTGTGTGTGTTTGGGCTTTAGTTGAATATCAAAAAAAAAAAAAAAGAAAAAATAGAAATAAATGAATGAATCAATGAATGAATAAATGAATCAAAAGTCGAGTTGAGTCAACAAAATAAAAATGATGTTGATACAAATCTTCATTTTAGGATTTTCGCTCTCTTTCTCTCTCGGCCTCTTGTTTCAAGTTTGAATAGCATCGAAAACCATCGCCATCATCATCATCATCATCATTATGTCAATATCATTACTGAATCAGCAGAAAACAAAAATCGAATTCTGCACTTGGAAATGAAATACAAACACACATTGAAGATGCCGAAAAAAAAAAATGAACTTTTTCGATCAAACAAAGATAGATGGCAAAAAGGAGAGAAATTATCAAAAGTGATATCTATCTATAGCTTCTGTTTGAAATGAAAACAAAAATCACATTCACAGGCGGCACATTCATCATCATCATCATATTGAATGATGTTGAAAAATTAATGAAAATTCATTTTTGCAATTATCTAGTTTCAAATAAAAAAAAACGACCAGTATATGTTTTTTTATTCTACAAACAGCAACATGAGTAAAATCAATCATCAATGACAAACAAGTTCAATTTAGAAAAATTTCTTCATTTTCATGTTTCCAGCAACAGAAAGTTGTCGAAAATTTTTTTTTTTCTCTCTCTCATCCAAACACATTTACGTTTGTCATCGGTTGGATGTTGTTGACAACAGGAAAAAAAACAAAAATTGACAATAAAAGTAGAGAGAAAAAAACAAGTTCAAATGAAAGTTTGGGCAAATTCTGTGTATTTGATGGAAAATGTCAATGGTCAATTTGGGTAGTATCTGGTGTTTTTCAACAAATAAAAATGAAAAAAAAAAAAAAAAAACAGAAAAATTTACAACACAGCCCAGAAAAAAAAGATATTCAAAGAAAAAAAAATTTGTAAATGGAATGATTAATGGATTGTGGCCAATGATTCTTGTGATTGGAAACGATGATGATGATGATGATGACGACTGAACAAAATAAAAAAATGAACGATTCGAGCCAAGAAAAGAAAACGGAAAATGAAATTGATGAAAATATTATGATTGTCGATTCGAAATTGGAATGAAAAACGCGAGAGAGAAAGAGATAGAGTCAACTATCTATCTTAATAATGATAATAATGATTATTATTATCATATAAAGAACTGAAAATGAATGAATCATTCAAAACATTGATCGACCCAATTTTTCGTTTCTATTTTATTTTTTTGCTCACACAAACTATAAAAGAAAGAATCCGTTTGATATCGGGCAATAAAAAAAAATTTGAATTTCAAATCATCCTACTAAACGAAAAAAAAAACAATAACTTGAATACGAATCGATTCAAGAATCGAGTGGTGAAACGGACTTTTGCACCATTTTTTTTCTGTTGGCTTCCACATCATAATCGAAATTCGCACTATACTTTAATTTTCGCAAAATAAAAATGATGATGATGATGATGATGGTGGTGGTGATAAAACAAATTTGTGGGAGAGAGAGAGAGAGAAAAAAAGTTCATAGTTTGGACATCATGAAAGATGAAAGAAAATAGTTTTTTTTCCATATTATTAATATAGGAAAAAAATGAAATTTCTAGAAGAACAAAAAAAAACCCGTTTGGGAAACACAAAAAAAAAGTGAATACAACTCCAGAATTGCTTCTAGGGCAAATGATTGGCATTCATGAAAAGAAACTTTTTGTTTTTGCGTTTTGGCATTTCACTGTTTGCCAATTCTTTTCATTTTCCCTTTTCCATCATTAAATTCGTGCATATACTCATTTTTTTTTTTCTTTGGTTGTTATTTTGTTTCAGGCTTTGGAATGACACCAATATATATTCGTATGCACATTGAAATTGATGCAAATCGAACACACAGATAGATGAAATGAGATGAGTGTTTGGCATAACAAAGATCGTGTTTGTGAATAAAAATTATTGTAAACAGACACACACACACACACACACACGTATATTATAAAAAAATATATATACATTGTCGATTGTCGAAATAAACATGAAAAAAATGAAAACAATTTTCAAGTCATGAAATGTACCAGAAAAAAAAATTTGAAAAAAATTTCCAATGAGCACGCATTCAATAAAAGACACTGGCAGCCTCATTTTGAGTAGTCGTAAACAAATTATAGCAATATATGTGTGAACAACAATCATGAAAATTTTTCAAAAGGCAAGAGTTTTACTTAATGTTTGGAAATCTTTCTGTTGTTTTTCCATTAATTCATTTGAAATCGGAAACAAGTTATTAATTTTCCACTTGCTCTTTGTTATTGTTTCGATTTTGGTTGGATTGTGTGAAAAATATTGCTGTTTGTTGTTCATCATCATCAAGACAACAACTAGAGAATGAAAATGCGTTTTTTTTCTGTGCCTCATCGAAAAAATGAAAAAAAAATTTGAAAATTTTGAACAAATAATGATGTTTTGTTGCTGGAAATTTTCTCACTAGAAGAATCTAGAATGGTAAATGTAATCGAACGAAAACGTGTAGGAATTTCAAAGTGAAAGAGAGAAACTTGACTTGACTTGATTCATTTTAAAATATAAAAAATTCAAGAAAAAAAAACCAGAGAGAACCTTTATTATTGACTTGTCCTATAAAAAATGATGCTGGTGTTGCCGCCGTGTGTGTGTGTATGGTGACAGATTGAATAAATGTTGGCTTCACTTCCATAATTCATTGTTAATGATATTTTTTTTGTTGTTGCTTTTGTCAATCGTTTTTGAATTTTATATCGGATCTATATTGAAATTAAGTTTGTGCGTGTGTGTCAAAAAAATATACAGAATAAAGATTACACATACTCAATTATCACACACACACACACACAATAATCATTATCACAATGATAATGACCTATAATAACATTTTCATATGCAAAACCAAAGATCACTACCACACTTAAAGTAAATGATTTTCATATATTGATCTCAAACAAGAAGAAGAAGAAGAAGAAAAATAAATGGATTTGGAATTCAAATCAGTCAAGTCATCGAAAAAGAAAAATATTCTTCCGAATAACAATAGAAAAAAGATGATTCTTTTTGATGGAATTTTGATCTAGCCAATCAACCGATCGATCAATCAATCAATCAATCAATCAATGGAATTATTTTTTTTTTTTATAAAGAAAATGTTCTTTTTTTTATAATCTAAAATGATGAATAATATTAATAATAATAATAACAGTATAACATCAAGAAATAATGTGTATTTGTGTAAAATGATGTGTTTGGATAGACAAATCAACTTCAAAGTCAACGTCAACAATCATCAAATGATGAATAAATCTGGAAATGAATGAATGAATGAATGAAAAAATTTGTAATATAAAGCTGAAAATGTACATTATATGTGAATGTGAATGTGTGTGTGTGTGTTGTAATTTACAAAGAAATGTCGCCATCATCATCATTGTCATCATAGTCGTCGTTGTTGATAATTATATTGCTGATAACATTTTTGGTCAGTCTATTTGAAATGAGAACCGGAGAAAAATGTAATACGGACAAACTGAAAAATGACTAAAAATTCAATTTGAATTCACAAAAAAAAAGATTATTCATATGAATGAATAAGAATAAACAAAATGAAATATAGAAATTCCATATCCATATATATACACACTGTAAAAATTTCATTCATCATTGAAGTATTTCGCATTGCCTTTTTTTTCTTGATATTTTGCCCACATTAAATCATCTCACGAACTCGGTCATAAATTTAACACTCAACTACCTTTTCTTTTCTTTTTTTTCAAAAAAAAGATTCGTTACAAGAGAAAAAAATGTTTTCAAAAAAAAATGTAAATATAGAATCTATTATGATTTTGATGATGATGAAAAAAAAAAAATTCAAAATTTGATGTATAAAAAAAAACATTTCCTATTGACGATCATTATCATCATTTACGTGTGTATACATGTGTGTGTGTGTGTGTCTGTGTTATTTATTGAAAGTTTTTGTTGTTGCAATTCTTATTCATCATCATCATCATCATCAAAATCATCAGCAGTGGTCTATTTCGACATAAGTAACAACAAAAAAGATAGAAAATTTATATACACCGAGCGAATGAATGAATGAATGAATGAATGGATGAATGAATCGACAAGAATAAGATCATCATCCCAAAACCAAAAAAAAAAATGTCTATTTTGGCTCTGTATGTTGCATAAAAGAATGAAAAAAAAAAAAAATGAAACAAGACCAAAAAAAAAATTGGTGAATGGAAAAAAAAGTAAATCGGAATCGGCATAAATATTCTCGAAATAAACATTGTATAGAATCTGAATGGATTGTATGTGGGGTTTTTTCTTTGATTCTCTATATTCATTCGTTTGCAGTTGTTGTCGTTGTTGTTGTTGTTGACAATGATGTGATGCAAGTTATTTATTATTATTCGCCAACAAGCAACTGACGACGACGACGACGACGACGACCAATAGATGATGATAACAATGACAATATATAGTTATGATGATGATGATGATAATGATAATGGCTATTATAACAGTATTTTATTATTATGGTATATCTCAAAACCTAGACTAAATTGTCTAGAAAATGTGTCTGTTTGTTGATTTTTTCTCATTTCTGTTCATGTCGGTTGTGTTTGTTGGTGGTTTTTTTTCGTATGTATATGAATGTGAAACAATAAAAACAACAACAACAACAAAAAATATTTACGATGACAGCAACGGATGGACTTTTTTTATATTCAAAATCAGTCTAATGAAATCAGAATCATTTTAATTCGGTTTTTTGATCAGAGATTCTTTTTTTCAGGTCCATTATATGCGTTATCTCTTCATGCAATCTGTCAGTATTTGTGTGTATGTGTGTGTGTGTGTGTGGTCACCATATATATATATTATCACATGAGATAATGAAAAAGTGGCGATAAAACAATAAAACCAATGATTAAGAAAGCAAGTAAAACAATAACTAATGTGGATAGTTTCATCAATGGAGCCGATGATGATGATAATGGGCCATGTGAAGTATATCGATGCATGACGGAGGAAGACGATCGAAGATTGTCACCAAAACCACGACGAACAAAATTTCTATTATTAGCCTGTTGTGATGATGAACAACGGCGTGGATTACGAGTCCAATTTTGAAATACACGAAATGTTGTTTTTGGTAAACCGGAACCATCACCAGAACCAGTAACACCACCACTTGTACTAGGTCTTGAATGATGTGGTGGAGCGTGTGATGCCGGAATCGGTGGACCAGAATGCTGATGTGATGTTTGTGGCACTGGTTGATGTGAATGTGGATGATGTTGTTGTTGTGGAGGTAAAGAAGGAGGTGGATGTTGTAGATGAAGATCACCCGATGGTATTGCTGTTGCACTATTGTGATCGCTTGTTGTTTGGCTAAGTTGATGACCGGATCGATATGAAGCTGGACTATCATTTGATACAGGTAATAAAGGCGCAACAGTGGTTGCAGCACTACTTGATGAGGCACCGATACCTATACAATTGGCACCAACAAGATTCGTTGATCCATAATGATTTCCATATGGTGACTGTTGTATTGGTGGTTGTTCTCTATAACTATTTTTCTGGAGAAGATGCGATGCTGCTGACGTTGGTAATACAACGCCGGCAAAATGAACATTACCCACACTTCCTGTTTGATTTGGATAATTTGAATCGATTTGATGATGAAGAGGATGATGAGGATAATGTTGTTGTTGCTGTTGCTGCTGTTGATGATGAGAATGATGAAGATGATGATGCGAATGTTCTGGTAACAATGATGGCTGCTGATGACAAATAGAAGGCCGCATTGGTGATGATGAAGCTACTGAATGATGAATAGGATGAGGCTGCTGAGCTCGCCTTTGGGAAGAATTTGGTGTCGATGGCAGCGATTGTGCAAGGCGCATATAAGCAACAGATGAATGATGAGGCAATTGATGATAATGTTGATGTTGTTGTTGGTGATGATGATGTGATAGGGGTGGTGTCTGGTGTGGCACTGTTGATGATGATGTATGAGAAGGAGGAGGAGGTGTATTGGACGCGGACGGTATTAAAAGCGGATCGCCACCAGAACCACAACGACATAGTTGTAATGGAGTAATATTGCCACCACCAACACTACTAAGATGTGGCGATGAACCCGTTGTTATGGTTGTTGCAAGGGAACGATGGCTTGAATGCCAAAATGGTGTCGATATGTGATGACCGGAACTATTATCGATCAATTCTTGGTGATCAGACCTATCTAAATTGATGGCCCGATTTCGAAGATTTGGTGAACAACCAATCGATGCGTGTCTTTGAAACAATACACCGTCGTTTGTTCTTGCTGTTGAAGACAATTGTCGTTGAATCAATATACCACCACTGCCACTACGAAATCTGGGCCGACGATTGAATGAACCCCTTTTTGATGTGAGTGATGCAGAATAACGATGACGATAATGATGATGATTAATAGGCAAATTGACAATTTCCTCTTCCTCTTCTTCTTCTTCGTCGTCGTCGTCGTCTTCTTCTTCTTCTTCGTCAACTCCAGTGCTAACGTTAATACCGCCACCACCACCACCACCGCTTTTACCAACAACGTATGAAGATGAAACAATAGAATGATGATTAGTACTAACGGATATCGGAATAGTATCGATAGTACCGTTATTTCCGCCACCACTTATACCGTTGTTGTTAGTGCCAATACTAATGTTATTTGCATTGGCAATAACACCACTAGGAGGCACTATAAATGAGCTTCGCAATGGTGGTGGTGGTAGTAATAGTGGTGGTGGTGGTGGTGGTGGTGATGGTGTTGATGATGAACCAACAACAACACTGCCAACTCTAACCAATTCCAGTGCGAATCAATTTCGAATTGACAATATTATTATTATTATATTTAATAATAGAGATAAATGCAAAAGAAATTATTATGATGATGATGATGATTTATGATGATAATGATAATGATAATGATGATGATGATGACGAGAATAATAAAATGATGATGATGATGATAATAATATTCTGAATAACTATACGATAAATATGATATTCCGGCCGTTATTTTGGATTTTTTTTTTATTACTAAAAAGAATTACGAATATTGACGATAGTATATAATATTATTATTATATCTCAGTTATCTTTTTTTTTATAAATGAATTTATAGGCACTACTTTTTTTTATATATCCATAAAAAATGAACAACGGGAAAATAATTTTGTGCGTTTTGACTTGAAAATCGGAATCAATATTGAGCAAAGTATTGTACGACGACTAAGATTGAATGATGATGATGATGATGATGATGATGATACAAATGTTGATAATTGATTGATGAGAACAACAGAACATTAAAGCTCGATTGTTTTCATTGAATTTTTTTTTTTTTTTTCACTGATAAATCAATGTTTGTGAGTATTAAAAAAAAGTCGTCAATTGGTGATGTATATCCAATGCGGAATTGGAATACAATCGATATATCGAATAATCGAATATTTCTTTTGTTTGTTTGTTTGTTTGTTTGGATCTCACAAACAGACAAACAAACAACCCATGAAAATGGATTGGTCACAAAATTTTAGATTTAATTTTTATTTCTTCTCCACACACACACATGAATTTCAATTCACATTTTGTGATTTATGATGATGATGATGATGATGATGATGTCGACAACACATCAAAAATCATCATCATTGTCGTGTTGTGTGTTTGTATGTTTTTGTGTTATTCAGTTTGTTATTTGGTTCGGAAATTTTTTTCTCTTTTTTCTTTTTTACTACCACTTTTGATGATGACAATGATGATGATGTTGATAGTGGCCATAAATGTGCCATTATTTTTGCTTTCATTTCGTTTCGAGTAAAATGAAAAAACTCCGTTTTTTTTTATTTGGGATGATGACAATGGATCGGCGTTTGATGACAACAATTTTTCTCTTTCCGTTGATTTTTTTTTACAAAGTCGTTTTATTTTTTGGTTCAATACGGCATTTACATTTGTTCGCTTTTCACAATTGATGAGTGTTCAAGAGAAAAAAAATGGGCCAATTTTTTTTTCTATTTCGATTTCGGTCCCAAAAATTCTATCGATTCCAAACAGAAATGTGAATATTTTCCATTTTCAATGATACGAATAAATTTCGATGATAATAAAAATGTTCAATTCAATAATGATGATGATATGACAAAGTCAAATTATTTTTATGACAATTTCGTGACGTGATCAGTCAATGACTAGTTGGTGTGTGTGTGCACAAGTTCAAAGATCGAATCTCAAATAATAAAATTCTGAATTGAGCCACACACACACAAGATCCAGAAATTCAAGATAATTATTCCCAGATGACGTGAATATGGAAATTCAATGAATGAATATTATTCTTCAATCATAAATCAAGGACATGAATTGATGATTTTGATGAATTCTTGAATTTTTTATTTTTCATTTTGTTCTTGTTGTTTTTTATGCAAAAACAAACAGAAAAAAATCAATGGCCATTTTTTCAGTGGCAATTCAAAAAAAGAAGAATAACACACATACACACACAGAAAGAAAATTGAGTCATTGAATGAATGATTTTGAAACAAGAATGAAAAAAAACCAAATTTATGAGCAAAGTCACGAATGTTTCATTTTCGTTTCTTTATGTTTTTTTTTCTTTGTTGTTGTTGTTGTTGATTAACTCTTGAATCGTCATCGTCGTCGTCGTCGTCGTCGTCGTCGTACACACACACACTCATGCAATGATCGTGTCAATGTTGATGTCGTTGTTGTTGTTGATGATGATGATGGTATTGATAACTGTTCTTGTCAATTGCTTTTGGATATTATTGGCAATTTGGATCGATCAAATGGAAACGCAATGCAATAGATATGGAGAGAAGAAATGAGAAATGAAAAAATACAGAACACGAAACACAGAAAAAATGATGATGATGATTCAAAAAATTCGAATCGAAATCATTATTATCATTGTTGTTGTCGTGGAAAAGATAAATATCAATAGATTGAAAAACAACAACAACAACAACAATCAACCATAAACAGAAACAAATGTTTAATTTTTTCAAATACTTTTACATATCACAAATGGATTTCACAACGTTTTCGACGACGTTTTCGTTGTTTCATCGCTCATCATTATCATCACCATCATCATCATTGAAGCATTTGCAATTTGGATTCTCATTGATCAACGCCGATTATATAGACAGATCCAATATCAATCATCATCATCATTATCGACATTAATGTCGTAGTTTATTACAAATTGGATCAATGATGATGATGATGATGAAAAAAAAATGAAATTCATTCAAGAAATATTGGCTTTGAAAGTTAATAAATTGATTTCAAGAAGAAGAAAAAAAAATTTATTGTCATTGTCATTTCATTGTGTGTGTGCGTGTGTATGTGTATGTGTGTTATTGGTTGCTGTAATTTTTTTTTCGAGAATTAATTTTTCACATCTAAATTCGCAATTCGATCCAGCCTCTGTTATCGACAGCTATATCGATATATAATGACGATGGACATTGTTGTTGTTGTTGTTTTGGATCATACATCTGTCGTCGACAATGGGATAACAACAATGACAATAGCAAACAAGAACATTGTCAATCATGTTGATGTTGGTTGGTCGTTGTATTTATGTTGTTGTCAAAAACCGAAAAAAGGCCTCAGCAATTTTTCTATCTTTCGCTCTATTTCATTGCCTGAACAACAATAAATGTTGATGAAAACACGAAAAAAAAACATAGATCAAAAAAAAAGTTCAAAGGTTATCACACACACATACATACACACACTCAGGATGTCATAGAAACTTTTTCATCATTTCATCAGATAGACAAATTTGTCACACCAAGGAAGGAAATATGAACAATGACAAATGAAAAAGTTGAAAATAAAATTGATTTCCTTTGCTGGATGGGTTTATAATTTCTAATTTCGATTGATCAATTGTGATGATAAAGCATAAATTTCAGGATGAATTTTTGAAAATGAATATGAAAATGAATTGCAGCAAAATCATATATATTCATTCCGATTTCTTTGGAAATTTTTTTCAAATTTTATCATTTGCAAATAAAATTCATACGCACACACACACACATGGGAACTTTTTTTCTTGTTCTGTAAAAAAAAATTCTTCAATTTTCACTGGCAAATAATTATTCCGTATTGTCATTTGGTTGTGTCAATGTGAAATAGAAAAAATTTTTTTTTTTGCCATCCAAAGATGACGATGAAGACGACGACCGAACCATATAAACCACGATCTGATAATGGAACTATAAGTGTGGAAAATGTAATACACACACACACACACACACACACACACACACACACACACACACATGCGAATACGAATAGCAGTCATGTAGATTGATCGGGTTGTGTTTGGTCGTCATTTGGTTTGTTATGAAGAAATCGAAATAAACGACGACGATGACGATGACTAGGACACGCACTACTACAATGAGAAAAAGAAAGAGAAATTTTTTTTTTTTTTTTTGAATGATTCTTTCGGTTCGCTGGCTGGCTGGCTGACTTGGTGTATGATTCGTGAAACTAGAACCAGAAAGAATGAAAGAAACACCAAAAGAACAGAAGAATTCAAGTAGAAGTAGCAATAATTGTTAGTGTGTGTGTGTGTGTGTGTGTGTGTATATGGTGGTGTGATCTTAGCTTCAAGCGTCAATTCGGCATTTTGAGACCAATTTTTTTCTCCTAACCCAAAAATGTATATGTATGACGCCCGACCATGGTCCTATTAAGGACAAAAACAACGACAATGAAACAAGCTTAGCCTAGCGTCGACGCCATCGAATCAAAGACAACCAATTCAACGAAATCATCAAGCATGGTACGAAGCTGTCATTCAAACAATACAGCACCACTCGGTTGCTGAAACACGAATCGAAGAATAAAGAAAAAAAAATTGTGTGAACAAACGGTCAAAAAAAATGAGCAAGAAATTAAATTGGAAAAAAACGCGTGTACCAAAAAAATATCGTCTCATTCATTTTGCATTTTTTTCCAATTTTCATTATCACCAATTTTTCTTTTGTTCGGAAAAAAATCAATCAATAAAAAAAAAACAACAACAACGAATTGACAATGAAAAGCCAAATGAATGATTGAATGAATATAAAACGAATTGTTTAGCTGTTGTTAGTCATGTCAGATAGAGTTGTATTTAGGGGTTGTCATTTATTATTATTTGTGTGTGTGTGCAGAAACAACAACAACAACAAAAACAGAAAAAAAAAATTTTCAATGTAAATGTCTGCGTGGGTGTCGCTTTGTGTGTGTGTGTGGTGTGAAATAAATGTTCATCGATTAGCATCATCATTGCCATTGACAACAAGCAGACAACGAGAGAATGAAACAAAAAATTGATGTAAATCAAAAACAATCAGAAAAGCGGTATAGAGAGAGAGAGAGAGAGAGAGAGAGAGAAAAAATGAGAGGAAATAAATTATATCATCATCATCATCATACAGTGACACAAAAAATCAAAAAAAAATTTCCGGTATTTTTCATCTTTAACCGAGGTACCACTGTACAGTGAAAAAAACCATAATCAACAACATTGAAAAAAAGTTTCAAACATGTCAAATCATCATAATTTTTATTCTATTTTTAGTCATCATGTAATGAAGAATTTATAAACTAAAAAAATTCTACGAAAATATCATCTATATATATTTATAAATGGAATATGGAACTATGGTAATGAGGATAATAAAACATTGCCGGTGTAATGGTGGTGGTGGTAACGATTATGATGATGGTGATGTGACATTGATCCAATCAATGTCAAACCAAATAAAGTGTTCCAGAATAATAATAATAATAATAATAAAAATCCGTTGTCAAAACTAAATAATAATGACGATGACGATGATGACAATGTCGTGGTTATATTGGTGAACTTGGCACTTACATAAAACACATTTCATTCCTTCATTAATTCATTAATTCAATGGAAAAAAAACATTTGCTAAATACTTGAATGATTTTTTTTGCACAGCAATATAGCCTATAAATAATAGTCATCAGAAATTTTGTGATTTTCGCGCTTGGTTTGTTTTCACTTGGAGTTCAATGAAAAAATTTTTTTTCATTGAAAAATTTTACCGGAACAAGAATCACGAATCTAAAGGGAATTGAATGAAATGGATGGATGGATGAATGAAAAGAGAATTGATGATTGTTGAGCCTGACATAAAAAAAATGAAGACATTGAACAAAGCAGTGAAATACCATGAACATAAACAATCCGATTCTCGATTCGTTTACTAATGATGATCATTCATGAATGATAATAATAACAAAAACAGTCCAAATATGTGGAAAAAAGTCCCGGATACCCGGGAATCATCATCGCCTACGTACAAAATCATGGCACGTTAAAAGGGAACCGAACAACAACAAAAAAACGAATAACAAACAAATCACAACACAACAGAATCCAGAAAACGACAAAAACGAGAAAAAGAGAGAAATTCCAGAAACAGACGTTTGGTTTGTACAAAATTCATTCATTCATTTGACTGATTAACGATCAACAACAACGACGACGATTTTTTCCATGAATACCACACATACACACACACACATAATGAATTAGATCATACAGAATAATGATTAGTATTTGGAAATTATTCTAGCCACCCAAAAAACAACAACGACGAGGAAAAAAACCGATCCAAAAAAAAAAGAAAAAAAACAATGCTGTCGATGATTAAATTTGAATAATAATCAAACCAACGAACCAACGAACCGAGGACGAACAAGAAAAAAAACAATCAAAAATAAGAAAAAAAAGTGTAAAACAACAACAACAAGAATCAACGCACACAGTGAGAGAAAAAATCCGGATAATAATCGGAGTAAAAAGCTTCGGATTCTGTATGGTGGTGGTGCAATCACCACTACAGTACACTTTACTAGGTACCAGAGGAAGAAAAAAAAATTCTGTGGCTCGATTCTATTATTAAAAAAAACAAACACACACAGAGAATACAATCAAGTAATTATCTTATCATCAATTATTATTAATTTCAATCAATGTAATTTCACACACACACACACACACGCACAAACACGTTTTATGTGAATGAAAAACATAAAATAAAATAATTATATAAACACAAACCAAACCAAACCAAACTAGAAAAAAAAACTGCAAGGAAATGAAAAACCTATAGTGAAAATTGAACAAGAAAAAAGCCTATATACGAGGACAAGCAACAACAATAAATCAGAAAAGATCCAATTTCCAATCAAAAATCAATACAATCTAAATATATTTTATTCATGTGCCAAAAAAAACATCCATTAGAAAAATCGAAAAATTCGTGTGTGTGTGCGTGAATCATTTGCGTGATAATCATGATGATCATGATCATGATACTAGTTTGGACTGGTTTTGATTTTTTAAAATTTAATTTGATAATTTCATTTTATTCAGACAACCAAAAAAAAAAAAAAAAAATCGGCCCCTAGTAGTCTGTATGTCTTATTCATACTATTGTATGGATAAAATGTGCACGTTAGAGATGTGCATCAATTTTTTTTTCTTCTGAAATCAGAAAAAAATGGACATACAATCACTCATCTAGCAAAAAAAAAAAAAAAAATGAAAGTGATCAATTTTTGTTGTTCGAAACAAAAAAAACTCAAATGATAATATGATCACGAAACAAAATTGAGCGACCACAACCACCTTCAACCAACAGCCAATCTCGTTTGATGTTGTTGATGATCTCAACTACTAGACATCTTTATTTTTCAATCAAAAAGAAA